GGTCAGAGGTCAATGGAGAAAGCGAGAGTGCGCTGGATGCAACGCAACTCTACTATCACTTTAAACGAATTCACGCGCAAGTCACCGTCTCTGCGTCACCCTGTTGTTGAGCATACGGTGGACGTAATCGAAATCGATGGTCGAACTGCCGTGAACAGAAGGCCACCACCGCAATTATTTTCCGTCTACCTAGACTTCAGGCACAGAGGATGCGGTAATCGGCAGCGTGTTTTAGAGGATACGTGTTTTGAGCAGGGTGCTCCACCGTAGGTTTTACGGTAACTTCCTCAGGCATTCGCTTTATTGTAGTAATCCATGGAGCTACTGACCCCGCGGGATTAGCCAGACCTTGTTTTCCTGTTTTGACGTCGGGGTCTTTGTTGATGTTGTGACATAGGTAGAATTGTATTTCATAGATGTAAGGTGTTTGGCTGATTACACTAATGGACGATGCGTTGGGAGTAAAAGTTCAAAATCATATTAAGTTAATGTTATTTTTCAACGTTCATGTTTCAAAACGTATAACGTGACTCACAGGAAACTGTCAAGTGACGTAGAAGCTATCGCTGTATACATACATTTTATCCAATGTAGTACAAGTCTATTTCACCACATTATTCTTCTAACTGAGGACATCGTTGGAAGTGTTTTTAGTCATCCTTTTTGAGGTGCATTTTCCCTTGCAACATTTCGAGATGCTTAAAACCTGGTATTCAGTTGGAAAGGGTGATAATGAGTATGTTAGACGAGACAGAGTTTCTTAGCCCAATCAGTTTAACTTTTGGAGAGCCTTTGTGATCAATGTGCTCGAGCGTTCTCAGGGCGAATAGCACCACCTCGATCGCTCAGTTCCAGACTTTTATCACCTAACTAGTACGACATTTGGTCGAATGTTCCTCTACAGCCGTAATTTCACATAGATTGAAGCCGTTGTGCTAAGTGATGCCTCTTTTAGACTGCGTACTGGATACTATGATGCACGTTCGGCTTTGGCGACTAACCACCCTCAATCTATCGTGTTAATTGGCAGCATATGCCACGCAGAATCCACTTTTCGCCGCAGTTTGCGTTGATTTATGCAAAAGAAGTGCACAACACGTCTTGTACCAATCAATTAGTTGGTTTACGTTTAATTTAAACACTGTTTTCTCAGAATACTTTTTAAAATGGCAAAGGCGGCAACATACGCAGAATTTGTTAAAGTCATAGAATTTCACGATCTCTTATTCAACTGCGTACGGTCAATATCTATTAGTAAGACAATATAAAAGGTCAAATTAACCATCGACCTAGAGGACTGAAACGTGATAGGTACATAAAGCACGAACTGTTGGTCTGATGTGCGGGTGTGCATAGTGGAGGGGGGGGGAGTTATTTCTCTGTAAAGCGCTGGAGACGCCCGGTCGTCACTCGAAGTGCAAACTTAAATGCAGTCATTAAATCAACCATGTGGACAGGGTTATGTAGATGTTTTGCATTTACACTTTTAGATACCTTATTTTCCAAGATTAGGAGCCACTTCGGCATATGTTCATCTGACCGAATTGGCAACTGCCTTTTCTTACGCCCACTGTATTTGCATCCGCAACTACCTTTCAAACTCATAAATACCCTTTGAGGTGGCCTGCGTAAGCAGAATATCTTCAGTTGGTCTAACTAGGATAGCCTTTGTAGTGCTTTTGGACAACAGTTTATAGGCTATGTACGTTTATTTAATCGTGCATCCAAGCCGTCGCTTTCTCACGTTTAACATATTATCACCATTCATAGGTAGGAAGATGCTCACTGACGGTTTGGTTCGCGGCTGAATAAAAGGTTTCGAAATTCTATGAAGTCAATAAATTCTGCGCATTTAGTTCCCTTAACCTTGTTCATATTTATCTTTAGTTGGTATGAAATCCGAACAGCGCTATTGCCTAAGGCGCCATAAGTTAGGCTCTTTTTCGACGCCTTGAAAGGGCTTTCATATGCTTCCTCTTCTACTACCTGCAATGCTGCATTCGGAAGCAGCAAACTGTCTCCATTGCCATTGCAAGCGAACATACGAATCCCAAGAAGTAATTGACAAGGAGTGGGTGTTATCGCTAAGAAAAGAATTTGATTCGCCTAACGTTTCGAAATCTGTCGCGTATTTTTCAGAGAAAGTAGCTGCGCGCGAAACTTCTTTAACCGGTCCAAGATGTGGCTCATTCGCCGACACCCACTCACCCACACATTCAAATTTGATGAAGCTTAACTTCTCTTGAGAGGTGACAGTTGTGTTAATCACTGGTTACTAAAGTCATGGTTCACGGGCCCCCAGTCTAAAAACAATTGCAACGACCTGCCAAATTCATATTCGGTGCTGGGGCTCAATTTGACCAAAGCGAGTCGCCATTCGGAGAACGCACTGGCCAACGTGTCGCCTAACGCTAACGCCCCAGAGCCAGATGGCTGAGCAATCATCACTTTCAATTCCACCATGCGTGATGAAAGTTCAGGTCACAGCCCGCACGCCGGCCATCAAACAGTTGTTTACTGTCATAGGTCTGGCACTAATCTAGCTACTGTATCTAATAAATACCGTAACTCCCTGTGAA